AAGGTATAAAGGGATGTGATTGCCTTCTTGTGGGGCCCCGCCGCGACTTTCTCTCAGCCGCCCCCTCTTTCCTCCCTGACCGCGTCCGTCATGGCACCCAACGCCCAGCAGATCGCGAAAGAGTCCCATGTCAACCATCTATTGGCCCACGATAAGGTGCCATGGTACAACAAGCCCAATCTGCGATTGCTGTACTTGACGCTGGTCCCGGCGTGCTTAGGCGTGGAGATGACCTCTGGATATGATGGATCCGTGCTCAACGGTCTTCAGTCGGTGCAGCCATGGTTGGACTGTAAGAGAGCGCCTATTCATGATTGCTACAATTACTGACTGGCCGAAAACCAGATTTCGACAACCCGAACGGGGCGCTTCTCGGAATCATGAGCGCTGCTTTCTCTATCGGTGGTGTCTTCGCCTTCCCATTCGTCCCGTATTGCAATGATCGCTGGGGCCGGAAGATTTCGGTCGTTATCGGAAGTGCAATCATCTTCATTGGCGTCATCATCCAGACCGCATCCGTCAACATCGGCATGTTCATCGCTTCTCGTCTCATCCTCGGTCTGGGTATTCCGTTCGCTATTGGTGGCGCCTCTCAGCTGATCGCGGAATTATCATATCCGAAGGAGCGCGCCGTCCTCACCGGTCTCTTCAACATCAGCTACTACGCCGGTGCGACCTTGGCCGCCGGGGTGACGCTCGGCACCTTCTTCTGGACGAACAACTGGTCATGGCGCCTGCCTTCCCTCATGCAAATTGCGCCTTCTGCGCTGCAGCTCATCTTCATTTGGTGGGTTCCCGAGTCTCCACGTTTCCTCATCGCCAAAGGCAAGGGCGACCAGGCATTCGACATTCTCGCCAAGTATCACGCTGAGGGCAACCGCGACGATGCCTTTGTCAAGGCTGAATTTGCGGAGATCGAGGCGACGATCAAGATGGAGCTCGAGGCCAACAAGCGCGGCTGGCTCGACCTCATGAGGACCGCAGGCAACCGCAGGCGTTCCTTCATCGCAGCCTGTGTTGGGCTTTTCTCCCAGTGGTCTGGAAACGGTAAACTACCCTGCCCAACCGCATGTTTGCTGGATGACTGACTTGGCTTCGTAGGTATCGTGTCCTACTACCTCGCCAAGGTTCTCAACTCGGTCGGTATCTTGGACAAGAAAACTCAGAACATCATCAACCTGGGCCTGATGATCTGGAACCTCATTACTGGCATCAACGGTTCCTTGTGGTGCCGCGTCCTCAACCGCCGTACCCAGTACCTCTTCTCATACACCGGCATGCTCGTCATCTTCATTTGCTGGACGATCGCCTCGGCTAACTTCGCCCAGACGGGCAACCTTCACGCCGCGGGCGCGGTTGTGGGCATGATCTTCCTGTATTATCCCATGTGCGCATAATCCCCGCACCTTTTCATGACTATTGACGCTGATTCGCCGTCCAGGTACAACACCATGATGCCCCTCACCTACAACTACATCGTCGAGATCTTCCCCTATAGCACCCGTGCTAAGGGTATCGCCATCACGCAGCTGCTCACTCGCGCTGGCTCCGGTTTCAATCAGTTCGTCAACCCGATTGGTCTCCAGAATCTCACCTGGAAGTTCTACATCTTTTACGACTGTTGGCTCTTCGTCGAGACTGCGGTCATCTACATTTTCTACCCCGAGACGCGTGGCCCTACACTGGAGGAGCTTGCCGCCATCTTTGACGGCCCCGATGCTGTTGTCGGAGGCCAGGACGTCGGCGCCGCCCTCGATGCCCAGTACGACGAGAAGGAGCACTCTGTCGATGACCTCGACAAGCCCAACGCCACGTACATTGAGGACAGGGTGTAGATGGCTGGGGCCAGGTCTGGCTGTTTCTCTGGCTGAGGCAATGACGATATGACGTTGTGCACGTGTGTATACTAGCTACACGTATTGTGGTCCATACGATGAATGATTATTGATGTCACAAACCGATGCGCAGACAGTATTTTCATACTAGACCGAGATACGCTTCGCAAACACGGGATCTTACATGCCTTTATTCTGTACATTGATCACCCATTAGCCAGCAGTAACACGGCAGAGTTCTTCTGTGCCAGTCCAAGGACTCAGTGGCCAATCCGCTTAGCGCGTGAATGAAGAGCCATGCAGCGAGCTCGCGTAAAAGAAAGGCCTGTACATCGTGTTCCGCGCACTTTCTTCCCTCTCTAGAGACCCCAGGGATCATTCACCAATGGATAACACCTTTTGCAAAATATTTTGGTAGCCATTCGCAAATTGTGGTAAAATGGCCACATAATTGCGAGAGGCGAAGGGTCATGACAGCGTCACAGCGCAGCAACGCTGTGCGGAGAAAGGCCATACCATCAAGAGAATCAAAGCATCTCTTTACGCACCACAAACATTCGCGCCAAATCGCAGGCGTGAGTGGGCGGCGGCGAGTTCAGTCCCAAGAGTCAACCCACCGACGCAACTCTAGCGGGAGCAAATACAGTTTTTGGCCCCAGGGACTGACGGTGTCCCAATTTGGAAATGGGCCGGTCGATATCGATTTGCCTCGTCATCTCGTCATCTGGTCTGACATCGACAATACTACGGTTACTTATACCTTTCAAGCATGCCGGTGCCTGTGGCAACGAGTGGGAAGAACATTTGGGTCGCGGCCGGGGATGGAGATCTTGAGCGGGTGCAGGTACGCTCGTGTACCGCCTGATCTTGCGGCTGGCGCTGAGAACCTCGTGTAGGAACTGGTTGGGCGAGTAGGTGAGCCGGACCAAAACTGACCGACAGCCGCTCTGGCTGACAGAAGCTCGAGGAAGGGATTGCACCGAATGCACCTGATCAGAATACCTATACCCCCATGTGCGCCTCAGACGAAAGAGGATCCATTCTTCCACTTACGGGAATGACTAGGCACGCAGCGGCATCATATGGGCATCTGCATGTCCTCGAGTACCTGATATCCCAAGGAGGGGATGTGAACGTACTGGACGAGGATGGAGACAGCCCGCTGTACACTGTTGAAGACGTACAGACGGCACAGTATCTGGTGGAGAAGGGCGCAACATGGGATATGCGGAATGCAGAGGGCTTGACGGTACGTCCTTGCACATATATGCTGTTCTCAGTCAGCATCTAACATGATGGGCTAGCCCGCTGGGGCGTTGGAGGAGGATTTTCCGGCCGTGTCTGAGTATTTGCGATCACTAGACAGGCCTGCAGCAACTTCCGACGACGCTCCGAATACCTCATCTGCACTGGATCCTGCACAGTCAATTCCCATGCCGTCCGAGTACATCCAAGACTTGACCGCACGCAATATGACGGATGGCCTTATGCAGCGGGTAGAGGACATCATGCGGCGAGCAGAGGCGGAGGGGCGGGATCCGGATGAGGAACTACGTGCGTATTATCCGGTCTGGGGCAATGGATGTGCGTTGAAATCTGTGCGTAGGAGCTGCGCTGGGGGATGTGTTCCAGCAAGGGATGCAAACGGGTCGGAATTGGGGAGCAGAGGGGCGTGAGCAGCAAGGGCAGAACGGGGACGTGGACGGTGAAGAAGCCAAAAGAAGACGACATGACGAATTGTAAGAGTTCATGGAGCGTACAGCATTGTATTTTGTATCTGTACCGCATGGGGCGCCGTTGTCGGAGGTTAGACCGGTTGGCCATCTGGCTGGCTATGACCGACGTGGACAAGTATGCGGCTGTCAACGGCTTGTGGACGCGTCACTTTCCGAACCCAAGACCCTTGGCCACGCTCCGAGCATGGGCGTCCCCACGTCGTGTGACCCATGAGAGCCGCAACCCTGACTACCCAGCCTCACCCGCCCCTCCGTCAAGATGGCAGGCTGTAGAAAAAGCCTGGTCATGCCAGCCGTTACTCCTGCACATAACCTGACCTTCTACCCCTACCACCATGCCTAATTTCCAAGCTGTACGCGCGGCGAATGCTACATATCGTCCTACCTTCCGACCGGTCGCGATGTTCGTCGGTGGCACGTCCGGTGTCGGGCAAGCCACCGCCGAAGGCTTTGCCAAATACACCAACGGCGACGCACACATCATCATCTGCGGGCGGAGCAAGGAGGCTGCCGAGAAGATCATCGCCTCCTTCCCGAAGAATGAGAAGAGCCAGTACGAGTTCGTCCAATGCGACGCGACGCTTATGAGCAACATTGCGACCGTCTCTGCGGACCTGCGGCAACGCCTGCCCAAGCTCAACTACCTCTTCCTCAGCCAGGGTATCATGACGATGCAAGGGCGGACAGAGACGAGCGAGGGGATCGACCGCAAGCTCGCGCTGCATCTTTACGGCCGGTGGAAGTTCGTCTTTGAGTTGATGCCCCTGCTTGAGAAGGCGAAGGAGATGGGTGAGGAGGCGAGGGTTGAAACTGTGCTCCATGCGGGCAGCAATGGGAAGATCGATTGGGAGGATATCGATCTGAAGAACACTTACGGTCTGGCCAATGCTGCAAACCACGCTACGACTGGGAACGACCTTATGGTCGATGTGAGTATCCATGCGTGTGTACTTGCTCGACGTCAGCGCTGACAGTGCAATAGGAAATTGCCCGCCGCTACCCCAACATCTCCTTCACACACATGTTCCCCGGGTTCGTCCGCACGTCCATTGTCAACGGTGTTTTGGGGAAGCTCCTCCTCCCCCTCGTCTACCCCATCAGTGTCTCGATGGCCACAGCGGGCGAGTGGCTCGTGCACCCGCTCCTGTCGGAGAAGTTCGCCAAGGGGGCGTTCTATCTGGACAACCATGCAGAGGATGCGGGGCCGTCTAAGTGGAGCACCGAGGAGACGAGGAAGAAGCTTTATGATCATGTCGTTTCTATGACGAAGACTGCTTAATTGTCCTCAGTGTCGCCTAATTGCAGTCTTGTTGCACATTGATACCTTCCAGCGGCCCAGCACCTTCCCTTGGGTGCAGGCGCAGTGGTCCGTGGGACCCCATGACTCCGCAATACGAGAAGCGCTTGAGTAGAATTCAGCGCTCATTCAGGCAACTTGGCGCAGTTGGCTAGCGCATCTGTCTAACAAGTTGCCTCTCCAGGCAGGTCCTTTGTACACAGAAGGTCGCAAGTTCGAGCCTTGCAGTTGTCAGAAATCCTCTTTTGACCTCCCTGCAGGTGACATCAATCCGCGTCCTTCGACTCCTACAGGCTTTTTAATTGCCGTCTGTTCCATCCAACCATAGCCTGGTCATTCATCCTATAGATGCACGCTTCGCTTCGGGGTCCCGATCGCTTGCTCCCCTGCAAGAAGCGTTAACAAGCGAGCCACAGGAGCAAGGCCTTTAGGGTGCTGGCTTGTCAGCCGGCTCCACAACCACTCCGCAGAGAGCGGCGACTAGGTGAGTCGTAGCCGGCGTTGAAATGGCCGCTGAAGTGGATGGTCAGCAAGGATAAGTGCCACGCGGTATCACAATCCAACAGATGGTTTGTTATCCAAGCACAGTTCTCAGACGAAGTTGTGGGGCTGCGTGGAACTCGCCCTGGCGCATCGGCAAACGCACTCCTCCGGAGCATCCGCCGATGCGCCGCGCTTCCCGCTCCTCCCCGTTCGTGCGCCTTACCAACATACCTGACGTAACACGTTCGCTCTGACCAAACCGCCTTACTTTGCTTCGTTCGGCATTGTTCCCGCCGCGTCGTGGGAAGGTGATTGATCACAAGCAAGGTGGTGGGACCCTGGGACCCGCGTTGGTCACCCCCGGGGGAGGTGGCATGACGCGTCCGATCTCGTGCGGCTTGCAATTCGCCGCATGGCTTCATATAAGAAATGTAGGCACTCTCCGACTGGCGTTCATCTAAAGGAATCAAGCAATAAACAAATACCGAGTTAACTGAGCAAATATGTCTGGCAAACCGACGGTTTTAGTGACCGGCGCAACGGGTGCCCAGGGCGGAGCAGGTGCGTCCTCGTCGCATCCACTTCTCGTAGCATGAATATTCACACGTGCAACAGTCGTCTCCGAGCTCTTGAAAGGCGACAAAGTCTCCATCCGAGCCATAACGCGCAACATCTCCTCCCCCAGTGCGCAGGCACTCGAGTCCAAAGGCGTCCAGGTCGTCAAAGCGGACATGTTCGATGGGCCCTCCCTGGTCTCCGCACTCAAGGGGTGCGACCGTGCCTTCCTCGTTACTCAGTTCTCCGGGCCGAAGGGAACGGCGGGAGAGACCGAGTCGGGCAACTTGTTCATCGACAACGCCAAGACCGCCGGCGTGCGTCACCTCGTCTTCTCATCGGTGGGGAATGCCGAGTCCGGCACGGGCGTCCCGCACTTCGAGAGCAAGCGCCGGGTGGAGGAGCACCTCTTCGCGGCCGGCCTTCCGAGCTGGACCATCCTGCGCCCCGTGGCGTTCATGGACAACCTACCCGCCGAGCCGGGGATGAAGCGCGCGATCGGCCTGGGGGTGTTCGGTTCCCTGCTCGGCGGGAAGAGCCTCAAGCTCATCGCGGTGCAGGACATAGGCTGGTTCGCCGCGCGTGCCCTCGAGAGCCCCGAGCAGTGGAAGGGCAAGGAGATTGCCTTGGCTGGGGACGACCTGACCGTGGAGGGGATGAAGGACGCGTATGCCAAGGTGCAGGGGGCGAGGCCGTGGGCTGCTTGGATGCCCGCGAGTGTGCTTGGGGCGCTGATGCCGACGGACGTGTCGCTCATGTTCAAGGTGCGTTCTCTGTGCATTGGATGTTCGGGACATGCTGACAGGGCTGAAGTTCTTCAGGGAGAAGGGCTACAGCGCGGACATCCCGGCACTGAAGAAGGTGTACCCCGGGCTGACGACTTTCGAGCAGTACGTCAGGAGCAAGTCGGCCCCATCGTCTTCATGAGCGGTCATGTCGGGGAGAGGTTGATAGCCGGGGTCGATGTTCCCAATGCCAAAAGTACTCGCGAAGAATATGCAATAACATGTTGTTCATGCGCATCGGCATCGGTGTTCGGGCTAGAAGAACGCTTCGCGGTAAAGTCGTGCGCCTCGCTGAGGTACAGTATTCGCGGAGCCAAAGTATCGTAGATTTGACAATAGACCAAACTGCTAGACGGTCTGGGCGTTTGGGTCGTTAGAATTCTTGTCCCACAATCAGATTTCCAGTCGGCTGGCTCATCAGCGGGGTATATAACGGGACTCTGCCACCGTACAGTGAGAGAGGATACAAGGGAAGGGGAGACCCATGGGGTCACGCGTGGAAGTCACGTGCAGACAGACAGTTGCCCGTACGCAGTGTCATCATGAGCATCACGCTCTCGCCGGGCGCTCAGCCTTCCTACCCTGTCTGCACCTCCGGCCTCCGGACAAACTCGCGCGGACCAACCCCCCCTCCGGACGTACAAGTCCTGTACAGCACCAATCCGGCCAGCCAGCCAGCCAGCCAGCCTATGCGCAACACCAGCGCCAGCCGCTGGCCAGCCCGCTTGCCCTCGGCACGGTCGCTTCGCCGATGTGCCGTTCCGGAATGCGATGTGACGGCGTTCCCGGCTGGCGACGGGGTGCCGTGGGGCTGGGCCGGGCGATCGGGTGTGGTGCCCCATGCGAGATGGTGTTCGTACATATGGTGTTGATGCGTGCTTGAGCGAGGGTCTATTCAGTTACGCACACTGCTGAACCAGAGATCTAATCTGCACGGGCGCCAATCGAAATACTGTACGTAACCACAAGCGATATGGCTATGAATGTGAATACGAACGCGAAGCCGACGGTGTTGGTCACGGGCGCGACGGGCTTGCAGGGTGGTGCCGGTGCGTGCTCTTCCCCCTTCCTCCCCTGAGTTTCCAAATGCTCACAGCAGGCCATCATAACCAGTCGTCACCGAGCTCCTCAAAGGCGACAAGCTGCATGTCCGCGCGCTCGCGCGCAACCCCGCCTCCCCCTCCGCACAGGCGCTCAAGGCGCGCGGCGTCGACCTCGTCCGGGGCGACCTATACGACGCGGCCTCCCTGCGCTCTGCGCTGGAGGGGTGCGACCGCGCCTTCCTAGTGACGCAGTTCGAGGGCCCGAAGGGCACAGCCGGAGAGGTCGAGTCGGGCAAGCTGTTCGTGGACTGCGCCAAGGCTGCGGGGGTGAAGCAGCTCGTCTTCTCCTCGGTGGGGAACGCGGACACGCACACGGGCGTGCCGCACTTCGAGAGCAAGCGGCGGATCGAGGAGCACCTGCTTGCCTCCGGCCTGGAGGGATGGACGATCCTAAGGCCCGTGGTGTACATGGACAACCTCCCCTCGCAGCCTGGGGTACAGCGCGCCGTCGCGCTGCGGGCGTTCACGCACCTGCTGGCGGGGAAGAGTCTCAAGCTCGTCGCCGTAGAGGATATAGGGTGGTTCGCCGCGCGTGCGCTGGAGGAGCCGGGGGAGTGGAAAGGGAAGGAGCTGACGCTTGCGGGGGACGACCTGACGGTGGAAAGGATGCGGGACGCTTGGGCTAGGGCGCAGGGGAGCAGGCCGGTCGTCGCGCCCGTCCCGGGAAGTTTGCTGAACATTGTCCTCCCCGGGTACTATGCGAAGATGTTCAAGGTGCGTCTCGTTTCCGAATGGTAAGGTGGGGGATGTGCTGACGGGAAGGGCAGTTCTTCAGGGAGAAGGGGTACGACGCGGACATCCCCACGCTGAGGGAGATGCACCCGGGGATACTCACCTTCGAGCAGTGGGTGCGGGCCCAGTCCCAGCCAGCAAAGCCTTGAACCGTTCTCACCTCAGCTTGTTGGGTGGTAGTCCATGTAGACCTCCAACGTGAACGAATGGCATTCTTCACACCTTGTTAATCTTGCATCACCCCATTCTCATTTGCATGCCAACTTCTGCTCACAACACAGTACCCAGCTGTGTTTGGCAGGATGTGGGGTGCCTGAGAAGCACCTGTATCTTGAGCCATGTGTCACATCACAGGCATGTACAAGAGGAGTAGTCGGTTACTTCTATAATAATCAATCAGTTTCTGAAAAGTTTCACAAACTGATTGATGTTTATAGAATATGTTGCTCATGCTATGAGAGTAATCAGCAACTACTTGTATGATGATGTTGGATGATGTTGGATGAGGAGGAGGATGATGATGATGATGATGATGATGATGATGACCTTGGAGAGGCAAAGGGGAGGGGGTAGCACTGCAATTGATGCCAATGCCAACATGGACATCTCTTACTGCAACACATGCTTACCCCAGTCGCTGCCACTGATCCCTTCCATTGCTGTGCACTGATTTCCCCCTCCCCCTCCATGCCCCACTTTATCAGACGCTGCCCAGTCGCTGTACACAACTCCCCCTTCCGAATAAGCATCCCGCCCGCCGCTGCCAAGCTCGCGCCACGCCATCCCATCAGAGCGCCAAAGAGCAGCAATGCGCCATGACGTCATGTCCTGCTCGGTACCTATGGGCCCTGTCGATCGCGCTCGCCTGTTGCTGCCCAAAGCAGCAAAGCGCGCCCGGCATGGGCTTCTGCGCTGGAGCGCTAGAGGAGCCGGTGGGAGCACAGCTGGAGCGGGCGGAGTAACGAACGTGCCTGCGATGGGAGCGGGCGGCGTATATCAGCATGGCCGGTGGCGGGCAGGGGCAGGCGCATACATCCACTCCGCCGACAACGAAGATATCAGCAAACGACTAGACAACTACCAATCTCAGAATGTCCGGAAAACCGATCGTACTTGTTACTGGAGGGACGGGCACACAGGGCGGCGCCGGTGCGTATACCACGTCGAGATGCTGAAGTACGTGCTGACATCATCCCAGTCATCACCGAGCTCCTCAGGTCGGACACCATCACCATCCGGGTGATGACGCGCAACCCGTCCTCCGACAAGTCCCAGGCGCTCAAGGCCAAGGGAATCGAGGTCGTGCAGGGGGACATGTCTGACGGGCAGTCGATCAGGACCGCGCTCACGGGGTGCGAGCGCGCCTTCCTCGTGACGGACTACCAGGCGAAGGGGGTCGAGGGCGAGACGGAGTCGGGCAACCTGTTCGTCGACCAGGCCGCCGCGGTCGGGGTCAAGCACCTCGTCTTCTCCAGCGTGGGAAACGCGGACACGCACACCGGTGTGCCGCACTTCGAGAGCAAGTTCCTCATCGAGCAGCACCTCCGCACGAGCACCATCCCGAGCTGGACGATCC